TACGTCCTTACCTCCCCCCTTCATCCACACTTCACCCTTTTTCACATTTCCACCCCCCCTCCCCCACGTCTGTCAGATTTCCCTGAAGCTATCCTCTCCCCTGAGCTCTCCGGGGCAGCCCCGAGACAGTGCTGAGAACAGCGATCAGCTACCACTGAGTCACCACCACCAGATGCAGCTGGTCAGACAACAGTTGGAGCAACAGCAGCATCAGACACAGGTACTGAGAGAGGGTGTGTGTAAAAGGGGTGGGGTGTTGAGGGGGAATAAAAGGAGGAGAGAGGGGGAGGGGAGGAACATAGACAGAGAGAACAGTGATCAGCTACCACTGAGTCACAAGGTGCAGCTGGTCAGGCAGCAGTTGGAACAACAGCAGCATCAGACGCAGGTATATAGGGAGGGGGATTGGGAGAGAGGGGGAGGAAGGGAGGAGAATGGGGGAAAGGGGTACTGGGAGAGAAAAAGAAGGGTGTAGAGAGAGAGGGGTAGGTCGAAAGAGGGTGTGGGGAGACACAGACAGAGGGAAATGTAGACAGAAAGAAAGAAGAAAGAAGGGGAAAAAATGAAAAAGAAAAATTGAAAGAAAGACAAATCAAAAGAAAAGAAAAAGAAAGAAAGAAATAGAAACAGGCTTACAGTCATCAAGAAAGACAAAAACGGAAGTGGGGTGGGGAGAAAAACAGAAATAAATAAACAATAATATTATTATGGAAAAAGAGGGAAGAATATTATGTAATCTATTGTTCTGTTCTTTTACCGATACAAGCTTTAGAAAACTTTGATGTGTATTTACATATTTTCCAATCCCTCTCAGTTAGCCATTGCTCAGTGGGGTGGGAATGGTAGAAAGGTGGGCTGGATTTGGGGGGAGGGGTGAGGGGAAGATGAGTTGTATTTTTTTTTTACCTATACAATCACTTGAATAATCCGGTATCAAGTTACGTCTTTTTCAATCCCTGTCAGGTGGCCATAGCCCAGGTACATTTGCTGAAGGACCAGCTTTCTGCGGAGACGGCTGCCCGGATTGAGGCTCAGGTAAGCACGCCAGTCATAAT